TAAGATTTTATTTTAAAAATAATGCTTTTAAAAAAATTTCAGGGCAAATTTGCAGGAGAAACGGTTTAAGAGATAGATTATATCAATATCGCATGTTATATAGCATTTGTTAATAAAAAAAAAAAAAGGAAAATATATTGACTTTATTTATTAACTTGCGGCCCCTCAACAGTAGTTTGAGGTAATGAAGAAACGTTTTGTTGCAGAGTTTGTTGACTGGATGTGTCAAATCTTTCTTGTGGTCGCCCGGATGGGGTGCTACTCACTGGTTGACTAGGAACGCTTGTATCTTGTTTTGAGGGAACCTGAACGTCATCGAGTTTTAAAACTTGTGCTAGTTTTTCTGCGGCTTCTTCAACCTTTGCTGCTGGACCTGTGGGCGAAACGCTACCGAAAACCCTCATCTCATAATCTGCACGTTGCTGTGCTTCTTCCTGCAAAATATATCAGGGGGTTGATAACCAAGAACATTAACAACAAAACGATTAAAAATGTACGAATGTACCCTCAACTCTTCCGCCAATTTATGCTCATCGACAGGACGACCCGTGCGGGAAACCATGCCTTGAACCGTCAATGATGGAACACCGATTTCTTCACTAAAAAAAAATTCGTTATTAGGTTTACTTCTACATTAACAAAAAACCTAAACAGCAAATAGATACTAACCTTACAGCGGTGGCATATTTACCCATAGCCGATTCTTGAAAGAATAAATTTATTAAAGAAATATATACATACAAAGTAAATAAGACTAAGAATGATAACTTACGAGCAACCGAGGTAGTACTTCCACGAGGAACACCGGCCACCGTCCCTTCACGCTTAGCATGCTCCGCAGCAACATCCTTCAATTGGGCAAGGTGTTCCAATTCCTTGCTATGTGCAACACCTTCATGAAGTAGCTCACCTTCTTCAGAAATAGAAGTAGTAATTATTGCCCTTGAACGGTTATTATTCGCAACTATAGGTTTTCGATATTGGGCAGTGGGCGAAATTTCTTCACCTTTATCAATTTTTACCACGTGTTCGAGTTTTTCGGCGGCTTCGGCGACTTTATTTGCAGGTCCAACTACAGGAACACGTCCCATGTGTGTCGCTTCGTATATGCGTCGTTTCTCTGCTTCCTCCTATTAAATCAAATTAAGTTAAATAAATCATTTACATACAAATATAGATGTAACACAAATGCAAACCTTAAGTTCTTGAACTAATTCATCTTCACTGATCGTGTTTGCGGGCGCAACCATACCCTGCACCGATAACGGTGGGATGCCAGTTTCTTCACTAAGCAATCATTTAAATGGAAATTATTTTGATTATTTTGGTTGTATACATATATCCACATATAATTTACTAATTGCTTGATAGTATACCTAATAGCGGTCGCGTATTTACCCAACGCAGATTCTAATAAAGAATTAAAAAATAAATAAAAATAAAAATAAAAAAATAAAAATGAGATAAAGAATACATACGAGCTAGACTAGCAGCACTGCCTTTAGGAATTCCGTAAGCACCTAAAGACTCTTGACGAGTATGCT